TAGATTTTTCGAAATTCTTAACGTAAATTAACGCTACCAGTAATATGACTCGTGTACAATAATCCTAGCATATTAAGAAATGACGCGTAATACTAACGCGCAATCTTTTGTCTTGAATTTCATATTAATTTAAAAATATTTGCTATATGATTGATTTGTCATTTATCGGATCAATTTAATGCATTTAAGAACAATAACCATAAATATTTTATTTCTAGTGTCAGTCTTTATGCGTAATATAAACCCATATGTGGAAATATTTTATATTTATGCAAAGGAATAAGTCAGGTTTCGTGCTCCCATTAAAAGGTTTTTATAGCCTTAAATCTAACATTCATTGCACGTTTTCAACAGACTTATTTTTGTACTTTTTGATAAAACAAATAAATTCCATTCATTGTATATGACATATTTAACTTATTAAAAGTATGTCAGAAGAAAATTTTACTTGTTCCTACGATTCTATTGCATTTACACTCCCTTTCCCTCCACGTATCAACATCTTGGAAATTGTTCAAAAAAGGCTCGAAAAAAATCCTGACAAAATTGGTTCAAAAGGTCCAAACTGCTGGCTCATATATCGTGCTTACTATGTTTTCGAGTACAATAAATTAGCTTCTAAGAAGTTATCCATGACTGAATTATCTCCACATATCGCCAAAGCTTGGGGAAATGAAAGTGATGAAGTAAAAAAAGGTGCAACTATTGAGTAAATTATGTTTTGTATTTCAGGATTTATATTAATAATAATTATCTTTAATTAGAATATCAAAAAATTGCCGCCAAAGTTGAGGAAGAACTGATTAGGCAAAGAAAAGAAAATCTTGTTTATACCTTCTCCAATAAGAGGCATTCCCCTCCAACGATAGAACCACCTGCACTTACTTATTCAGAAACGCAGGCAGCTTGTTCTGAACCAACAAAAGAAATACCCGAAGAGTTGAACTCGACGGACTTTGATATTTCTAGCTGGACTTTGAACCTTTTCAATTATGCATCAGAATCGCCCAACAACAACAGTAACATATTTACTTCGGGACATACAATGACTACCGATGGAAATTTGCCTTTTCATCCTGATTCGACTCCCCCCTATCATTATCAACTCGTTAACAGCAACTTATTCTTTATTCCTCAATATGATAATTATGAATATAACGTTAACATGCCACCAACATTATTACCTGCTGAGTCATATTTTATTCCTATCCAATCAATTTATTGCGTGGATGGTTTATATGAAGATAACTATGTGTTCTATGATCCTTTATTCTCTTAAATTACAAGATAATACACTAATAAGATCATACATTAATCGACGATTGTCTTCTATATTCTTTCAATTGTCTTTCTAATGTATGTTACATGCCTAAGTCTGAAAATTTATTTACTAATTTTCACTAGTTATACATTCTATTATGATTAACAAATGAAATTGTTTCATCATATTATAATTTTTTTAAGTATGAAAAAAAGAAATATAATAAAATATGATTTTATTCTCTAACTCACTGCTACGAATAAAGATGGTAATTTTATATTTTTCCGATGAATTTTTCCGATGATCGACTCTGATTTCTAAAAAAGGACCAATTCTTATGCATACATATGTGCGATGTCATCAGTATGCATGTACCTACGTACGTACTACGTACTTTATCATTAGTTATTTGGCGCGTTCGCCTTATTTTAACAATATTCGTAAATTTGGTTTCTAAATCGTTGGCATATCTATTTATTCTATAGTTGATTTATTACCAATTTTTTGATATATGGAATATTTTACAATTATTTGGAGATCGGCTCAATTACAGAGTTATTAACTTTGGTTCATGCAAATCATTACATTATATAATGACAGATCGACCAGAACCCTTGATGAAGATTCTCGTAGCTACCAGACTAATTGAAATCGATAAAACAAATATATATATATTTTTTATAGAATTTGTATCGTCAAGAAATCCTTATTTGAAATTTGAAAAATTCGTTATGGTTTTTATAAAACGATTTTAATTTTTTTCTTTTGACTCTTTAAACGAGGATTTCTTGATGAATACCAAATAAATTTCTATCAAAAAAGTTTTTATCAAATTTGGTCTGGTAGAAATGGAGAAATCTTTTAATATTTTGACCGTAGTTTATGATTAAAATTTAAAATCTTGTAGATTCGACGATTGCCATATCTAACTTAAAATTTTTTGCATAATAATCATCGAGAGATAAATAAATACATATATATTCACAAATTGGTTTCAAAAAAAGTTCGTTCTAATTTAGATTTAAATTTTAATATGATGTACTTGCAATGTCTTGCAATATATTGTTATTGTTTTTTATCTTTTATTTATTATTATTATTTTTGTATTCGAAATTAAATTTATCACTAAGTCACTAAGTTAATATTTTTCTCTGATACGCTAAGCTTAGTCATGTCAAAAAGAAATGTAGATCCCTTGTTTCAGAATGACTTTACATCTTCCTATTGTGCCTGCTGTATAAATAAGACATAATAAAATGTAAAAAAAAGCGAGCCATAGGGAGGTGTGAACGAACGAATCGCTCTTAGCACTAAGACATGTTGCCTTTAGCCTTCACACAAACTTAGGACGGACCATTGAAGAGAGTGAAATAGTAATGGCGCGGCACCGTGCCCTCCGAGCTGACCGATGCTCCAAATCGAGCCAAGGGTATCTTAAAAAGTTACTATACCTTTTTAAAAAATAAGCCGCTAAGTTGTAGTAAATTGATTTGACTACAAATTAGCGGCTTCCTTTCTTTAATATCTTTTTTAGATCGAAGTTATTAGCTTTTGAAGTTAATGTAGCCTTTAAGTGTCGCGCACTATAGTTTTAGTAATACAGTATTGAATTTTCATGATCCCAATAGTTCGAGATGAAATTTTCTGAATGCTTGCGATTCCGATTTGGCTAGGAGATCATGGTACCGCCGAATATTACGCCATCACTATTTCACTCATTAGAAATAACCCCATAGTCTAACATGATTCTAAGTCAGAAATTCTCTGCTTATCATTCATATCCATATATACTAGATGTAGCCCGCTGCTTCGCTACCAGCTTAACTTTATACGCGTAATTTTTTAATATTAGTAGCTCTATGATTACACAATTTATTTATGCATAATTCGTTAACCTTCAATATGTAGAAACAGGGTGTTCTCAAGCATCTAAATTAATAGGTCTGAGTTCAACTTTTAATTAGTGGAAAATAAATTATTCGTTCAAATGAGTTCATTATTGCGATGAGAAAAAATTTTTTTATCATAGAGTTGTGTTGATTGGCTAAGATTTAATATCCGCATTTCTCAGCATGAATCTTCGACAAAATTACCATAAGGATTACTTCAATTAATTGTAGTACTTGTGCACGATCTCTATAGCTAGCTAATTACACTGAGAAAGATGCTTGAGAGCACCCACAGTTAGCTGCACATCCGGATCCTGTTTTAAATGGAGTAACCTAATGGACACCGTAAATCGCCATATAAAAGACACCCCTGATAGTATACCCCAAATATAATATAGGTTTTCAATCAGTGGAATGTAATCTACAGTACTTGGGTTGTTTATTAAAATGGATTCTACTTAAATTCACGTTCTAATCAGACAAAATCAATAATCCAAATGCAATTTTATTTCCAAACATTTAACGAGTATAAACTAAATTTATCAATTAATGGTTTAAAATAAGTTATTCAAGTTCATAAATATTTATGATTAAATTTCAATTTTTTTCGTCAAGCATAAAGATTGATTTAAGAATCGTATAAATATGTTTATAATAGTATAAAACTAATCAAAGTACCAAAAATCAAAATACAGTATATTATTTTCAGTTTTGTTGAACGATTATCAAAAGTGCTGAATGTATGCTGATTATTGTCAGTATTCTACTAATATCCTGTTGCTGAATGAATATTCAGCTGGCTGAATGTCTATTCAATAGAGTCAATTAGCTAATCAGCAAGCAGTATGCCGCAATAACCAGCACCTTCGTCAATCAATTAACAAAATAATAGATAGGGTGTCAATAGAAAACAAGCAAATTGTTTTTTAGTAAATTTTTTTAAACTTTAAATTAAATTATCTCAACAACTATTAAAATTTTTTTTTATTTTGATTATATAATTAAAATAAAAAAGGTTTTATCAAGTTTGGTTTAATCGTTGTCAAGATATTTCAATTCAAAGTTTAAAAAAAAATTTTACTTAGAAGTAATTTGCTTGGTTTCTATTGACACTCCCATATGTTGATTTTTGGTATTTCGACTAATGTAAGTGTGCGCGTTGTAATGAAAAAAAACATAAAAGTAACATGGTTGTGATCGGTGTAACAATCAGAGAATGGAAAGATGAAAGTAAAAATTTTGCGATTATGGCATTGTTAAATCACACCAGTGGTACTTAACACCACAGTTGCTATTGTTCAAAAATTGTCTAAATAACCAAGACCGGATGTATTAAGTAAAAATGTTCAGCAACCCAAAAAATCTTAACTTTATTTTTTAGCTTTAATTTTTAGTCTATAAGCTTCTAATTTTATCTACTGTAAATTTTAATCCTAACCTTAAGTATTGACAACAAAATTATAATAAAAAATTATATGATGTTCAACACCACTGGTGTGATTTATAATAATTGTTGTAATTATATGAAAGAGTTTCAAATTCTTCAAACTACTCGATACGAATATATGACCAAATTGATCCTATTTGATAGATTATATATTATATAAGAAATAGATAAAAGATGTGATTGGATGTAGAGATGCAAAACAGTTCGACAGGATTGCATATTATAATTAATCAATAAAGCCGATGGATCGATTTGCATCTCTGGCATATGAAAAATTATTATGGTTTGCAAAAAGGTGTGATAACATGATAGTGAGGAAGTTCAATAATTCATCAACCATATTCAATTAATAATATCTATATTTATTTTGATTTTACAGAATATATGGGGCCATTGCAGTAGAAAGGGCCGAAACTCGGAAATATATAATTTTGAGAAAATCGTGTTTATTTTGTTC